AATCTTTTCTTGATATCTTAAGAATTACATATACAGTTTATAGGGAGAAATACATTGCTAGCGAAGGCAAGGAAAACTGCAATGCCCATTTCTGGCTTACTGGCAGTCATCAGCCAACCATACCCAACCCCAGCTATTGCAACCCCGAGGACCAAACCCGCGACCTGTCGGCTAAAAGTCCAATGCGCAAATTTCTGAGCCACAGGCTGGTTGCCTTTTCGGTTATTGTCGGGAGTATTAACACTGGTAGATTGACGCTTACTAATCGGTTAGGGGACCCATCCATTTCGTAGTGCCTTCGGGCTCGCGTTTGAGCCTTGTCAGAAGCTACAGGGCAGCTAGTATTATAGGCAGAAACATACTGTATTCATTTGCTAGTCTTAGTGTACCTCGTATCTATATAAAACTGCAATAAAATGCATCGCATCATTAAATGCACATGTTCTTATGTCTTATATTTCTACTATTAATATTAGATCATATTGCTGTCCTGCATTATGAGTATATAATGCGAGACACGAATACCTACAGCAATCAAAAATGCTTGAAGTTCGTTTAGACTTTTTGTATATACTCACATCAATTTTGGGGGCAGTTCTCTGTCCAGCGGCAAAGGTTCGTCGTTGGAATTGCCTAGCTGATATTTGGTGGCATTTGGCATCACGGAATGCATCCTTGAAGTCGGCTGTTTCGAGCCGTTAAGAATCTGTGAAACAATGAAGGCCTCCCGAATGCGCCTCTCGTTTTGCTCATTGTTCATCCTGCCCTGTAAGTGCGTCATCAGAAGCTTGTTAAAGAAGTTGACGTTGTTGGTGTCCGTTTCGCCAACACGAGACCCCTGTCCCGCGAATGTTCCCGTGCGTTGTTGAAGTGCGGTTGCATTGGAAAGCATTGTAGGAGCGAAACTGGCTTGCAGAACGGAACTTCCATCTCCACCAACAACAGGTAATGCTAGGTTTCCCACGGTGGTTGGTAGACAGCTGCCCACCATTTGAACAGACTGACTACCGCGGTTGGTTATAGATGGCTGTGGTTTCATGGAGAGGTTAAAGAGATTTAGCAGGAGGTTCTCCTCCACGTTTCGGTTCACACTTCCCGTCACCGTATCTGAACGCTGAATGCGAAGACCGTCGGACTTGTCTGCGGGCTTGGCCCAGTTAACTTCGATTCGAGAGCCATCCAAAATGGATCCTGGATAGGAGGTAGGTAAAGCGGTTTTGTGGTCAGCATACCTGACAGCATTTTAAACAACTGGGGGCACTTATAAAATCTCAAAGGGAAATTGGGTCGTCTGAGGTTTCGGGTTATAGTTTCGTTCACTCATCTTCGGAGGCTGAAGAGTCATTCTCAAAGATCTCCTTATATGACGTGGTTAATGAGAGCGGAGATGAAAGAAGCCATAGTGAGGAGCAGGCCGATTCAACCCCACAGGCATTCAACGAGGGTTGCGGCAGCGATACCAGTCACAGTGAGATACAGCCCGACGGTCAGTGTTGTCAGACTACGCCCAAGACAAATAGCGGCAGCCAATAAGAGCTGCAAGCATAAATCCAGTCTCTGAAAATGTGTGGAAGAAACTAATACCTGATACGTCGAACATGCATTTAATTCCTCCCAGTGTATGCCCCTTCTTCTTTTGACATATCATCGAAGAG